AGGAAGGACAAATCTATTTAAGAATATGATTAGAGAAAAATTTTATATCTTTCATAATTTGGATACAAAAACCCTCCTAAGTTATTTTATGTTTTTTCAATTTTCATCCAAAATCGATACTACTTTGATGACTTTTTGGAAGCATGATGGGTACCAATGGAAAGGTCTTAAAATGATCTTTTTAATGATTTTTGTAACATCTCATTTGGTTGATTGATTAGGGAGATGAATTTTGAAGTTGTTTGGAAACCTATTTTTGACGGTTTGAACGATCTAAATTTGAGTCATTATAACTCTATATTTCGACAATGTTTTGAATATATTCTTTGAGGTTTTTTCTAGTATGAAATGTAATGTTTAACGTAGTGTCAATGTATTGGTTAGGGGCTCTTGGTGCTAAGAGCATCGAGTGCTCAAATTTGCCTAGCTCAAATTGAAACCAGTGTTGATTTTGTGAATTTTGGCCTTTGAAAGTTGTGTTTTTGGTGATCTTTGTTTTTGAAATGAATTTGGTTACTAAGTTATGATATGCAAGGTTCTTCATGGTACTAATTACACCTTTGATTTCAACTTAGGTTGTAACTTATAAGTGCTTAAAGTAGGCCAAATGGTCATGGAAATTTTAAATTTCATAATTTATGAAAATTCGTTTTTAAAATCCTGAAAATTATTTTGATCAATAATTGACCTATTTTGATAGACACTTCAGGAATTTGAGTTATTTGAATTTTAGTGAACTTTTGCATAAATAAATATTTATTTGAAAAATTATCCTTGAATTGGCAAATTTCGAAAAATTTGTTAACAATCTTCAAAGTTAAGTTTTAATTAGTATTTGAAGTATTTTCATCAAACCCCATCCTTGGTACTAATCTTTTACTTTATTCTATGACCTTCTAAGTTTTGAATTTTTTCATAAATTATTAAAGAAAAGCAATCTAAATTTTAAATTACATTTTAAAATTAATTTTGATTAGCGAAAGAGGTGCTATGCCCTATATGCCTTGGAAAGACCATTGGGGAGTCA